CCTTGTAATTACAGTTTATCACAGTGCAACTCAAGTCCTCTATAATAGCTCTGCTCTCGTTTAAACCTCAAGCACTTTCCTAGTAGGTTTAGTTTCACAGTGGCTTCTTTCACTCTTTGTAAATAAAGTGTTGCTTCCACTCATTCTCCGTGCTTTCGTGTCCATACTTCTCGTGGCCACTAGGTTGTGACAATAACCAGCTCACACAGAATTAAATAACACTTTTCCCACACAAAGTTCCAATATTGTTACATTTAAAGCATCTAAAGATACATTTACAGCTAGCTTGCTATTTTTTTTGCTTGTTGAAATCACTATCAAAATTATATCTCATTTGAAAGCCTAGTGATTTTGATAGCTACTATGATCTTAACTTAAAATCCCACCTTTTTGTATTGTTCCAGTGGACCCCCTAATATGCAAGCACATTAGAGAACCTTTTTTTCTTTGCTTGACATTTTTAAGTGATTTGCACCACATACGTTTCCTTGCTCATTTAGGATATACATGTCTTTCCAAAAGTGTGAAATAACTATATGAAAAGCACAAATTTAAAGGAACATTTGTTCATGAATATTTGTTTTGATTCACACTGGCAATTTTACTAAATATATCCTACGTCAATCTATCATTTGTAATAGTTTGTGGTGAACAGGGCATGTAATCAAATGTGGTACAGCCATTTGTGGATCCAGCACAAACAACATTTATTTCAACATGAAGAATAATAATTGAACTAATAATAATAATATTAAGTTTCACCAAAGTTACTAATCTTAGTTTTGATGTTATGACCACACAGGCACGTGCAGAGGGGGGGGGCTAGAGAGGCCTGAGCACCCGCCCCTTTCCTGATGGGTGCCCAAAGTTCCCTTTTGTTGAGGCAACTTTTTAAAAAAAAATTATTATTGTTATATTTTAATGTGTGTGTGCGTGCGGAGTCCTGTCTGTGCCCCTCAACAATAACATTTAACTATTAATAACAGTTTTGCTAAATAAAAGGATCTCGCTTGCATCAGTCACATGATCACATTTAACCAATGATCGCCCTTGACGGCAGAACGCAGTGGTTACGAGCCGGGAACGAGCTCACAAAGAGCACGCGCATTTTTTTTGCGTTCCGGAGCTGTAGGAGAAACACAAGTTAACTCAGAGACACAGACTGATGCGACAAAACCCGTAAGTAGGTGTACAGCGTACACTGTAGTCTACAGCACACAGGAGTATTAGCTTATTACGTACACGTTGTCTTGTTGCAACTGACGAACTGAAACAAACGAGCGTGCTGTGTGTGCAACAGCGTGACAAACATTACCTGTCCTTTTATTAACTGCACAAGTAGTGCTGGTCATAGCTGCTGGCTACCTGTGTAAGGCTGTGATGGGTCTGTAGCTCTGTCACCGTTTTAGGGAACACATTTAGTTTTAAAGTAAGTTACAGAGCTTTTCCTGCCTTTCTGGAGGGATTATATTTCACTAAAAAATGATCTAATATGAATGTCCACATAATTATGCATTATTATAATTATAATATATTAAAAAACACACATTGTATTTTAAAGAACATACATTAAGAAGCAGATTATATTAGATTTATATTTTAAATAAGACAAAAGTTGGATTTTACAGCAGTAAAATGATTGTATATCTACAGTTTAAAAATGTAATAAGCTTTGCCCCTGCACAGAGTGGATAGTGAAACAAATGGAATCATCATAAATACATTATTTCATATTTATTACTTCCCCCTCCTCATTGCTTTATTATTGTAGCTCTAGTAATGAATAATAATGTAAGGATTCTGGATCAGCACCATGATGCCCATAGTATATACAGTATTCTGAAGAAGGTCTAAAATGTCACTGTGTGTGTGTGCATGTGTGTTTTATGTATATGGATTTTTTTAAATTATTACTCAGGATATAACATTGTCCAGACATGCCTGGTAAGGACATGAGGAGGAAACAGTAGGAGCTGTGTGAGGCTACTAAAGGCAGTGCTATAACATTTTTCTCTCATCATTTTATTATAGATTAAGTGCAAGAGTTGTTAGGTGTGGATAATTAGATTATAGTTTATTGCAATAGCAAGTTGTGCCTTGTTCTCACATAGACAGCAAGTGGAGAGTGATATACCGGTATGAAATGATGGGATGGAAGGAAGAAGAGAAGCAAAGAGTGATTCACAGGCAGAGCCTAAATTATTTCTCACAGTTTTTGTTGCCTTATGGTTCCAAGCGCTGTCACCAATCTTTGCATTTTGTTATTATCTCATGACACTTGTTTAATCAGCTACCATCTCTCCTGTGGACTTTTTAATGTCTACAGTCTCAGATCAACACAGCCCTGCCCTCCAGCACTATCCACAGCAACCCCTCAACAGCAACATTGTACCCATCAGGTAAAACATAGGCTACGTTTACTTTGCCTTGTCGCCACCTCACAACAGTGATATAGTATGGTGTGATCCCATATTAGATTCTTGATGAATGTGTGTTGTTGTTATTCAGCCTGGTTCAATGTGCCCCTTTTTAACTTTGAGCACCCACCCCTTTAAACCTCTCTGCACGTCCCTGCTGTGACCACAAGACTAGAACAAGTTAGGTGTGGAAAAAACAAATTTCTCAAATTCTGGATGAACACTGAACTCTGACAAACCTTAGGTCATTATTGGTTGGCCAGATGCAATAATGTCAGTATCAGCCACATAACCTGATATTTGCTCATTAGCTGGGAGAAAATCCATGTAGTTCTACAACCTCACAGTGACTCATGGGGAGGCCAATTTTGATGTCCATTTAGGTTACCAAATATGAATTTAGGCTACCCAAGAAAGGGCAAGGAACCAAGTTGTAAAATAACATGATCTGATATCAGATGCAAGGACACAAAAATTCTTTAGCATAGGCATGGACGCCTTGACCAGAAAGAGCTATTTTGCTAGATTTTTTTTCTCTTTCCTCTTTGAGCAAATTGTCTAAGATGTGTCTCTTTTTGTGAAAAGATAGGATAAAAAGAATGTTAACCAAACAGTCTGGAATAAATTCTGATGTTTGAACTCTAATTTACTAAATTAGAGTTACTAAATATGTTAAATCTCTATCTTGTACCTTTAATCTTTTGTTCAGTGGACCACACAACATGTTGTATTACATGAAGAATTCATCCTGACCTGGAATCCATCTGACAGTGAAGATGAAGAAAACCATCCCATCTGCTTTGTAGTCCAGGCAGAGGAAATTCAGATGGTTTAAACTTTATCATAGCACCATTTTTATGGATGTTGTAATGTTTTTTATTTTCTAATGACTATACTATAGATTTATTTTCTCAGTAGAACCAAGTATCACTTTGAGCTATGCTGTGTGATTGTAAGCATTCATATTAGTGAATAAACTCTAATCATTTGCATTTCCTTCATTATATTTTCAGGACCAATCCCAACTCCTTGGCCTTACCTTGTGGGCTTTGAATCAAAGTTCTCACGCAGTCTGTGAGTCACAAAATCTTTTGCTTTTACAATTTTTAAAAATCCTTTTATTATTATAGAGATATTTATATTAAAAACGTTAAGTCGATGGTTCAACAGTCTTTTTTTTTATCCATCCATCCATTCACTTCCGCTTATCCTTTTCAGGGTCGCGGGGGGCGCTGGAGCCTATCCCAGCTGTCATAGGGCGAGAGGCAGGGTACACCCTGGACAGTTCGCCAGTCTGTCGCAGGGCTAACACACAAGGACAGACAACCATTCACACATTCACACCTAGTGGCAATTTGGATTATCCAATTAACCTATCCCCACAAGTCTTTTTTTAGTTTTACAAAAACAAAAATGCAGCTTTGGATGAAGATGATCAAAGAAAACCAATCTGTAGAATCTGAGAATGACACATGCACTGATCTTCTGCTTTCATTTGCTCCCTTTTTTGTGTCCAAATCCAATTTCTGTAAAAGTATAGGTTACATAACATACAGTAGATGCATATTTTACTGCTAAAGACTGAGAATGACAGCATTAGATCAACAGTGAGTGAACTGTTTTGAGTCTTTGGCTCCATTTGTTGGTGACATGATGACAGAAATGTACAAGGTTGTTAACCCTTTAAGACCTACTATAGAACCAAGTCCGCCAGAGCTTCTATTATATTTTTACATGCTGTGGAGCCATTTTTGGGAGCATTTCAAGTTGCTATACATCAATACAACCATTATAGCCCAAACTTTAATAATATGTCTGCATTAGGTGCATAGTAATTACATAAATTGCAAAACAGTGTAATAAACTACAAAAAAAAATTGAAAATTGTTTTGGTTTTTTTAACATATATTTCTAGTTAGAGAAATTTAAGAGGTTTATCTCTCAAAACTGTAAATACAAAAAAGTTGCAAACTAGTTTCCCACCACAGGAAATTTATTTTAAGTGTCTTCATAGTTTTATTTTTGAAATACACCAATTTTTATATACTGCAGGAAAAAACGAAAATAAATATTATAATGCAAATTTGCAAAATAACAGCATATGCATCAAAACAAACTATTTCCAGCAGTGCAATATGAGTCCTAAGCATCTCAGAAACGACACAGAAAGTCATAAACTCAAACATAACTTTTAAAAACACCAGTATAGGCTCATAAGGCCCCGATTGTAAAAAACTACATTTCCGCAAAATGACGTCAGCTCATGGCGGACATGCGACAGTTCACGCTGATGGACGTAGGAAGTGTTACAAACAGCTGATCGGATCAGCAAAGCGTGTTTCTGGAATATTATGTTTTTGTTGCTGCAAGTGCTTTTTATGCAGTTTTTGCAAAGCTATATGTGGAAGGAAACTGATCTAGGACAAGCTGATGGCATAAGATGTAAGTACAACTCCTCCGGTTTCATATGCAAAAAAAAACTATTGCGCTACGTGGTTGCAGAGCTACCAGGATTTAAAAATTGTTACGCAAAATGGAGCGTGTCCGCTCCGACCGGCTTTAAAGGGTTAATAAAAGGTACTGGCACACTTCCCAATATTTGTTTTTTAAATGCACATTGTTTAGTTAAATGTGCATTCTGTGACCAACATAACATCAAACGCTTAACAATAAATATGGAATTATTCAACCACTGTCATCATTACCTCTAATAAATTGTCAATCGTTTGGACTGGTTTCGAATCTTTAAAAGTGAAATCATTGTATATTTTATAACTATTGTACAGTGACAAACCATATACAGTAGCATCATAGCTGCTAAGAGTTTATAAAGGATAAAAGATCAAAATCAGAACATTTATTCAATCCAAGTGATATGTTGATCATTGTTGTGGCTCTTCTTCTTTAGACTCTCCAGTTAGAGATTATCAGGAGCTCTTCTTTTAGCATCAGCTCGAGCTGAAGGACAAATAAAAGAGTTATATGTATAGGCCGCAGCCAGGCATCATCCGTTCACCATGAAGCTTTAGCTGTAATGCTATAGCCATGAAAACCAGTTAACCTAACTTCTTTAACCACAACACGAACACCAGATAACCATCTGTCAGTTTTTCTGAAATCCCTCAACAGCAGGTGGAAACTTTGCTGTAATATGTGCAGATAACATGGGTGCTGCTGTAACATAAAAATCCAAACATATCTTATTATAGCTTATGAGCAATAGTGTTGTACTTTTACCACTGTAAAAATTAGCATATTCCATTATAAGCATAATGTTTTGAAGTGTTCTTACCTTGAGCCAGCTTTCGGTAGATGTATACACACAGTATGAGTATGCCGGTGTAGAGCATGAACAGCAAGATCGTGGCCACCAGATTGGGCAGAGAAGCAGTAAACACAGGGGGAGTTTTTGTTCTCTCTGTTTGGAGAAAAAGCTGTTTTGAGCTGTTCTGTTTCAGACCATTTTATATGTAGTTATTATCACTATTATTACAAATATGTATAATAATATGTTAATAATTTCCCATTTATATTCACAGAAATGAGAGTGAAGCACATCAGAAGGCAAGACAGTCCTTGTGCAAAATAAGTCTGCACATTGGTGCAGCATGACAGAACCTAACAACAAGCAGACCTGTGAAAGCCACCCTATAACCTAGGTTACTTCTTCATGTGGTGAAGCCACAGGAAGCAGCTTGTTTGTTTGAACAAAGAAAGCTTCATGTGGATGACTCATCCTTCTGTAGTTTGGTCTGTACATATAAAACAAAATAGAAGTGCTTGGTTTAATACTTAGAGGCTTTATAGTTTTACTAGGTTTGTGACTCAATATAGGTGGGTCTGTGTTAGGGACATTCAACTCCTAAATCAAATCAAAAGTTCTAGTTTTGCTTGAAAATGAATGGGAAGTACTTTGTTTCTATCTAATGCCTGCATTTCATCATTGCGCACAACATGACCTAGAAAGTCAACGTGAAAAGGTGCAAGAGAGGTTTCAACATGTTTGTCAACCAGGAGACAAGTCCATTTTTGCAGTGCAAAAATGGACTTGTGCTTGATTTGTTGTTTGTAATTTGTTTTTTGCATGTTTTAGTTCATTCCAATTAAAAACTTTGGACATTGTGTCTTTATCAGACTAGCATGCTAAGTGTAAATCGGAGAAGCATTCACTTAGCGGAGTTTACTTGCAACACGTCGCACACAACTCAAGGTTTTAGGGGTATTACTAAAGTTTAAACCCTTTGGTTTCTCCAGAGGAACATTAGGCACCAAAATACAACAATTGACTGAGCATTTGGCTGCTCCTTATTTGCATTATGGGCAACATACACATACTCTATACAGTCCAGAGAAATATTTCATCTTCTTCCATAGGAATTCAGGTGTGTGTTAACACAATACCACAATCTTCACAGGAGTGGACGTCCCAACAAATTTTTCCTGAGATTGGACCACACAGAGAGACTAAAAAACTCAAGAGCTAGATCTTACACTCTACAGTCCTTAGTTAGATATTAAAGTTTGTGACTTGGGCTTGTTTAATAGCCCACGGGGTCTGGGCACCTTACAGTCATTCAGTCAACCTCAAGTTCCTCTGTATACCATAGCATTCTAAAGTCAAATATGAGGTCTTCTGTTAAACAGCTAAAGTTTGGTTGAAGTTGGACAATGATACCAAGCACAGCAGCACATAAACAACAGCATTTCTTAAAACTAAAGAATCAGTTTGCAGAAAGACAAGAGGAAAGAAAAAAGATGAACCTGTAAGGTTTAACTTTAGCAGGAAATTGGGTTTTCTAGATTTTTGGGTTTTTCCACACAGAAATATGTTTGATAACATTTAGATAATGGTGTCTAGAAATCATTTAGATAAAGTTTCAAACATATGAAACTTGGAATTACCTCTAATGCCCAACCAGGTTTGGGGCGACGCTCCCTTTGTGGGGTGTTGACACTTGTAGAAGCCTTCATGGGACTTGGAGACAGTTTCAAGGATCATCTGCCCTTCAGGCAGCCTTCCAATAAAAATACCATTTCTGTAGAAGGTCGCATTGAAATCTGATGAAGAATGCTGGACCCATATCTCCTTGTAGGAGCACCGAAGAATCACTTTGTCTCCCTCAGTCACGGGAAGTGCAGGGCTCTCCAGGATCACAACACCAGCTGAAACACAGAAAAGCAAACTGTGAATGTTGTTGACAAAACAATAATACATCCATAAGCACAATTTTAAAGGTTTAAAAAAAGCTACAAGTTTGCTAATCTGAGAAAGAAAATGCCTATCCCTAGCCTGGTTGAGGAGGTTAAATGAGCAAAAGTGAGGCTTGAGATGTCACTCACGGACTCCCGGGACCCCATAGTGAGAGGCACTGCTCCCACTCTAGCAATGGGGAGGAAGTGGACCCAGTCACATCTGTGCTACAGGCGAAATCCGCTCTTCGCCATCATGACGTGGTGAGTCACGTCCAACAGGATAGAGGGGGATTTGGTCTTGGCGCAGCAACAACCCGTTGGCAACAGGCACCGAACAATGAAAAATGGTGTTGGAGGAGGTGCAACGACAGGAGGAAACAGCCAGACATGTCAGAGCCGTGGCACTGGCCAAGCAGGGCCGCTGAATGAATTGGGAGAGTGTGGAAAAGAGGAAACTCTCATGGAGTGAAATCTGTGGAATGGAGTCTAATAGACTAAGTTTCATCATCTGAGCGACATACGATGTGCTACCTTCCCCAATAAATCTGCAGATGTGGTTTGGAAAGGACCCATCCTGCCCCCTGTGTACAGTCCCAGCAGCACTCAAGCACATCTTGGGTGGTTGTAGGACTAGCCTTACTCAGGGCAGATACACATGGAGACAACCAGGTTCTCAGGTGTCTAGCTGAGAAAGTTGAGTGCAAAAGAAAATCCATTAACGCTCAACCTTTCACGAAACAAGAGGATCATCAGTTTTCATCAACATTTGTCCGGGAAGGAGACAAGCCGAGGACAAGCCCCTCAAACCCAGACATGGGCCCGCTGAAGGTTGCCAGGGATTGGCAGATGCCAGTGGACTTGGATCAGAGGTTAATTTTTCCCACAGAGATCGTAGTAACTACTCTGCGACTAGAGCTCGTCCTTTGGTTCAACTCCCGCAAACTTGCGTACGTCATTGAACTGACAGTACCATGGGAGGAGGCAATTGAGGAAGCATTTGAGAGTAAGAAGCTGCAGTATGCCAACTTGGCAGCTGATGCAGAGAACAGACACTGGAAGATCAAGGTGCACCCAGTGGAAGTGAGGTGCAGGGGCTTTGTTGCCGGTACAACAGCAAAACTGCTTAGATAGATTGGGATCAGAGGAAAGGCGCAACGGCAGGGTATAAGAGAACTAGCTAACACTGCTGAGAGGACCAGTCACTGCCTATGGGCTGACATCACTTGGGCAGCTAAGGCAATCAGCTAACCACACGAGAAAAGAAATACTCCGCTCTTCTTCCCTTTTCTGGGAGGCAGTGGGGAGGTAGATCGGGTGCCCCCCTTCCAGCTCCCCTCTCTCCTATCTTATCTTACTTACCTCGTTAACATTTATGGAGCCTAATTTCTGCCTTTACTCATAACAGCCATCCCTCAAGAATCTCTCCATCTAAAGCAATGCATTATCATGGACTGTAACATCTAGTCCTTTTACTGAACCATTTTCTGTCATATCATAGTCCACACTGGGTGGTTGTGATGTATATGCTTATACATTTTACAAAAAGCAACGTTAAACTATGTGTGATCCCATAATATGAATTATTTTGTTTTGAGATTTTATTTTATTTTTTTAACTCCACTCAACAAGTATTTACTCACTATCCACTGATATGTTGAGGACATTGCTGCACTCCAACTCAGATTCACACCAATACAGTCCACTGTCTAATGAGAAGACCTTGGGATTGATACAGGAGGATCCATTTGGGCGACCCCAGTTATTCTGACATGGAACAAAAGAGCCGGTGGAGGTGTTTCTCTTCACCCTCCAGCTGGTAAAATTCCCTGGTGCTCCACAGGTCAGATTGAAGGACTCGTACCGAAAGAACTGAGTTCTGTCAGGTTGAATGGTCAGCACGGCTGCTGTTCATAAAGGAAATGGGGAAACAATCCAAAATTATTTTCTTACAGTGACATTGCAACTTATAATAAGTAAAAAATCAGGGTTGCTCACTGAACAACAGCATAATTTTTAGCAAGACACTGATCACAAACTCACTGCCAGTGCTGTTATAGTATGCTTGGACTGAAAAAACATCCAGTAGAACATTATCAGTCATCAATTGGCCTTCCCGAAGCCCCTAGCTCAACATTACTGGAACAGTGAAAAAACAGCAGCCAACAAAGAATAGCTTTGAATATCCTTCAAGAAGCCTGTAGAACTATTCCTGAAGAAATTCCTGAACAAATAAAGAAATTATAACAAAGCTGCCTAAGAAAGGTCAGGCTGTGTCGGAAAATAAAGGTGGGCAAACCAAATACAGATATTCAAGCTCATTAGAATTGTACAAATTATGTTTTTGCCTTATATGCTGTATCTCCATATATGTTTGCACTTTTCAATTAATATCTGCACCTATTTTTCTTGCAAATAAAACAAGTTACAGAATACCAAACATCAACAAATTGCATTTAAAAAAATAAAAATAAAAATCCTTACATATCATTAGGCAGACTGATGTGATCGCCATCCTTGAATGATGCTGTCTTTGTTCATCTTCGACAAGCTACCCACATCCTGAGTTCACGGATATGAAACTACTGCAGCGGAGACATGTTGAACAGAAGAAAAAAATCAAACAAGCAAAAGAACAACTCAGTTAGGATTTAGCATTTAATGAATTCCTGCTGTCCTGAAAGGCTATAACATCAGTCAGTGCTTTATTGCTTTAATGCAGAAAACTGCATTAAGGGATTGCCAGGTAATATGGTGTGGTGATTATTCACATTAACTTTGTAATAGGTTTTGATATGCTACTACGCCCTGCAGGGAAAAACAGCTGTCGGTCTCAACATTTCTTTCTAATAAAATGGATTGCTTTTTCAAGGGGGTAATGCAATATCTTCTTTACTACAGAGTGAATAAATATATTGTCAAGGTTTGTGCTGTGCCAGGCAGGATGCAGGAGTGAAGTCAGAGAGGCAGCTTTATTGCTGTAGCAAAACAATTCAAACATAATACACTAACCTAAACTCAGAAAACTAGAAACATGACACCAAACTAGGAAATCTAGAACTAGGGCTTTACAATGCACGTGGAAAAAAAAAAAAAAAAAAAAAAAAAAAAAAAACCCCAAATAAAAACACACACACACACACACACACACACACACACACACACAGCACTTTGAGGTACGAGTGACAACGGACAGTGGAAAACACAGGGCTTAAATACACAGAGGGATAACAAGGGAATGAGACACAGGAGGAGAGCATAGCTGGGAGTAATCACACATAACGAGATGGTCAGGAATCAAAACTGAACACACTAAACACTAGATAAGGGACTATCAAAATAAAATGGGAAACATGAGACACGATACTGATCCGATACTTTGTACAAAAACTTTAATTATATCTCAAATTATAGCGTCATAATGATTACAGGACACCAGATTACTTGTTCTTATCACTTAATAGATAAGATAACCTAACCTTAGTCCCACATGTGGGAAATTGTCACAGCAGGAAGTAGACGGTCCAAAAGTTATACAGCAAAAATTAGAATACAATAAGAATAAAATACTGTACAGGATTTTCTTTTTTTGAATACACACACACACACACACACACACACACACACACACACACACAAGAATAAAATATACAATACAAATTCTATATACAACTGAGTAAAAATACAGCGATGCCAGAAAAAGAGTATTGCACATGTGAGGATGTGTGTGTTTGGTCAGTTGAAGTCTTTGTTGTGGAGTCTGACAGCAGAGGGGAGGAAAAACCTGCGAAATCCCTAACCCACATCATGGGTGCCGCAGCCTGCCACTGAAGGAGCTGCTCAACGCTGTCAGAGTTTCCTGCATGGGGTGGGAGATGTTGTCCAACAGGGATGGCAGCTTAGCCACCATTCTCCTGTCACTCACCACCTCCACTGGGTCCAGATGGCATCCTGGAACAGAGCTGGCCCTTTGGATCAGCCTGTTCAGTCTCTTCCTATCCCTGGCAGAGATGTTGCCACCCCAGCAGACCACACCATAAAAGATGGCTGACGTCATAGAAGGTCTTCAGGAGTGGGCCCTCCCCTCCAAACGAGTCTCCGCAGCAGGTACAGCCTGCTCTGTCCTTTCCTGTAGAGGGCGTCTAAGTTATGAGTCCAGTCCAGTTTGTTGTTCAGATGAACACCAAGGTACCTGTAGCTGTCCACAGCCTCAATGTCCATACCTTGGATGTTCAGTGGTTGCAGTGGAGAATGTTTGTGCCTACAGACGTCTACCACCAGCTCCTTGGTTTTACTGGTGTTTATCTGGAGGTAGTTCAGCTGGCACCAGTCCACAAAGTCTAGGGTCAGTCCTCTGTACTCCATGTCGTCCCCATCAGTGATGAGGCCGACTATTGCAGAGTCATCAGAGAACTTCTGCAGAAAGCACTGGGTGGAGTTGTGGGAGAAGTCTGCAGTGTATATGGTGAAGAGGCCCCTGTGGGGCCCCCGTACTGCGGACGACCCTGTCCGACACACAGCCCTGAGTTGTCACATACTGTGGTCAGTTGGTGAGGAAGTCCAAAATCCAGGTAGTGAGGTTATAGTCCACTCCTGAGTTCTCCAGCTTGTCCTTCAGGGACCGTGGGAAGAACAGTGTTGAAGGCACTGGAGAAATCAAAGAACATCATTCTCACAGTGCTCCCAGCGGTCTCCGGGTGGGAGAGGGAATGATGCATGAGGTGAATGACGGCATCATCTGCTCCAATGCCAGGTTGGTAGACAAACTGAAGTGGTTCCAGTGATGAGCTTATTAGGCGCCGAAGCTGAGCCAGGACCAGTCGCTCCAGGATCTCGCCTATAGCTGTTGAGGTCCTTGGGACGTGAAGTCTTTGGCACTGGTACAACACAGGAGGTTTTCCAGAGCTGTGGGACTCTCCCCAGCCTCAGGCTCAGGTTGAAGAGGTGCTTCATCACCCCACACAGTTGGTCCGCGCAGGACCTGACGACCCTGATGCCATCTGGACCCACTGCCTTCTTGGCTTTAATCCTCCTCAGTTCCCTCCTAACCTGGGTGGTTGAGAGAGATAGGCTGGAGCCTTCTGTTGAGAGTGTATTGGATGCTGTTGGTGGGGGTGGGGAATAGTTAGCAGGGTGAGTAGAGGAGTTGTGAAGTGTCTGAGGTGTCAGAGGTGGAACAGCAGCAGTGGGGGTGGGTGAGTCTGCAGCCGATGTTGGAGACTGCCTCATGGATGAATCAAATCTGTTGAAGAAATTATTCAGTTCATTTGCCCACCTCACATCCCTCCCAGGCAGAGAGTTCTGATGTTCGTGGCCCGAGATGGTTCGTCTCTGGAGGCCTGAGGAACAAAAAGAACCGGGGAGAAACTAACGTAACACTCCCTAACCAGCAAAATCAGGAGAAAAATTGTAATCAAACAAAAAGGTAGTGATATGCGAATCATGAACAAATCGTTCAATACTCGAGAATCACTAAACTGACTCATCCCTGTTGCTATTAGCAAACTAATTTCATTAGTATCTGAATCAGAAAGGGTTTTGAGCATGTTTACAACATTAGGAAATTGCTGCGGTACTTAATGCAAAACATACTGTCAGACAACGCTTATTTAAACATAAACATAAGAATTAAAAGTGCTAAGTAGATAGATATATACATACATGAATGCAGGTGGTGATCAGTGCAAAAAGTGAATGATGCAGTGAACACAGCGTAGGGTCATGTGTTAGTGGTGCGAACAGTCATATGGTTATTGTTCATGTGTCCAACAGCAGAGGGGAAGAAACTGTTCTCATAGCGAGAGGTTCTGGTGCGAATGGACCGGAGCCTCCTGCCTGAGGGGAGCAGGTCAAACAGACTGTGTCCAGGGTGAGAAGGGTCAGCTGTGATCCGAGCTGCACACCCCAGTGTCCTGGGGGTGTACAGGTCCTGCAGAGATGGGAGTCTGCATCCAATCACCTTCACAGCAGAGTGCACAACACGTTTGTTCCTGATGGTGGCTCCATCCTCACCACACGGTGATGGAGGTGGTGAGGATGGACTCGATGATTGCAGTGTAGAATTGCATCATTGTCCATGTTGGCAGGTTGAATTTCTTCAGCTGCCTCAGGAAGTACATCCTCTGGTCTTTTTGTCTTTGCTTCTTGATAAAGATAGATTTAAAAAAAATAAAAAATAAAAAAAAAAATAAAAATTAAAAAATTAAAAAAAAGGAGAAATATACTTGCCTACATATTGTCAGGGCTCTGTGTGCGGGCAGGTGGAAATGTGGATCCAAATGCAGGACTCCGAGACGAAATGTAACTAAAACCACAGCTTTTATTGCTGGCATGAAACAAAAACCAAACCAAACCAAACCAAACCATGAAACCAAGCAGGAACACACAGGCAGGGTCTGAGGGTACGACGCGACGCTGAGCACAGGAAAACACAGGGCTAATATACACAGGGTGGTAATCAGCGAATGGGCAACAGGAGGGAGACACAGCTGGGAGAGATCAGGGTTAACGAGAGGGGGGGAACCAAGCTGCACACACTAACATAAGACAAAGACTTTCACAATAAAACAGGAAACATGAATTACTAAACAAGCATGCAGACTTTACACTGAGAGACAGACAGAGAATGAAACATGGAACCTGAACTAAACTAAACGTGAGATATAACTGAGAACAAATCCTTAAGCACGGATAATCAGAAACAAGAAACTAATAATAATCATCATCACTACGAGAATAAGAAAACAATCCATGAAGCAGAATTAACCGAAATATAATAAACTCAAAATACTGGGTCCAACGGACCCAGAACCGTGACACATATGCTATTCTACATGCTTTTAAACCATTTATAATCGCAATTCATAGTTTTATATGCAAATTATATAATGTTAAATTACTATTAAACAAATGAGTGACTAAGTATTTTACACTGTATTTTACTTCAGCCATATTCCATATAAATCAGGTATCATACAAAAATAACAATAGCTTCAAATTCAGTCATGACAATAAAATAATATGACTTTAAGGATTTAACAACATTACTTCTGTTATACTACACCATTAGCACTAAGGGAACACTGAATGACCTGGTGGTTTTTGTACCGGTACATAAAACTACTCATCTAACATTACCACAAAGTAAAACATCTCTCAGCAAAATTATGCAACATTTTAGGCACACTATTGCCCCTATCAAGTCAGTGAGCTGGGATTTTTTATTCTAAACATGTTACAGCAACAAACATGGACTACATGGGAAGTAGCCAAACACATGCCTTCTCTTCTCGTTAACTGAGATAAACTGATGGCATATTTGTTTTACATCTACATCTTTTACAACTGTACAGTCTGTCCTGGTGGACATGGCAACCCGTTATTCATGATTACATACAATTTTAGACTGATGTGGGCCAAAGCCTAGCACATACTTGCCATCCTTGTGTAACCCATATCAACTACTCCCTGTCACATGACCCACGTCAGCTGATTTGAGGTCCCTCTTCTGATTGGCTCCTTCCACGTCGCGGCAACTCTGAAAACCGGCTGTGGAGGGATACTTCCGGGTAGTGATGGGCAGATGAAGCTTCATGAAGCACTGAAGCTTTCCATCCAATTGGTTCACCCCAGCGCAAAGCTTCTTGAAGCTTCATTTGCTCTAGTAGGACACCTACTGGACGTAAAAATATTAGTTGGCATGAATTTGAAGAGTGTGGCCTTTTGCACACAGCCTGTAAATGTCAACAACAAAAGGAGTGTGTAAAACATGTATATTGTAGTGATGGCAGTATACTGTGTATATTTATACTGGCAGTATGGAAAATGATCATTTGGAAATGCTTAAAATGGAAATGATCATTTACTGTGAGGTGAGGTGTGGTTGGGGTGTGGACAGTGGTTGTGCTTTTGTAACGTTGAGGTATGGACAGCTACATACTGAGGCGTCAGTCCTGCCCATATTTTATTCAGTAAAAACTAAATGTTCACTGCTTCTATAACCTTTAGTGGGGAGAACATAGCTAGGATTTAATGATTTAACAAATCTTTTGAATCCTTTGTCCTCCACAATGCTAAATGGCTGGGAGTCCTCAATCACCATGCTAACCAGGTCTTCATCTATAGAGATTGAAAATGTGACGTCACTCAGGGGTAAAACCGCAAAGAATTCTGGGAACTCGTGGCAAGAGGTACTAGCGCACGCAGGCTTTCAATTGAAATCAATTATACAGCGATAAAAAGAAACACAAAAAATGGCAAGAAGCTGTTGTATTATTAACTGCAATAACCGGTCGCATGACAGCCATGGAAAGCCGACAGGTAAAGAGATCGTTTTTTTTTTTAATCGGATTACGTCGTTGAAGAGAAATTGTTCGAGCCATGTTTCCGAAGTAACAAAGAGGCGACTGGATTGCAGCCATTCAAAGACCAAATATAACGTCCCAGAACACTCCAGCTCACAGGTTAGTCTGCTCCAAGCATTTCCACAAAGGTCAGTCTGCTGTTGTAGTTAATACGTCATTTTTCATAACATTATTGGTGATATAGGTTACAAGCAAGTCTGGCGCTGAACAGAAATTGTCGCGCTATGCTCCTTTGTTTATTGTGCATAAATAGTGAATTGTCCTGACACAATATTGCGTTTCGCTTCTGTTATTATGGTACAATGACAAAAACATATACTTTTATTCACAGGATAAAACAGTTGTTTTGTATCACTAATTGCCCAGTACGATTACAGCATACAATATTATTGTCACTGCTACATTTCTGTGATGCGTACCAGAAATTATTTCCACTACTAATTAATTACCGTTGAGCTCAAAGGTCCTATTAATAAACGGTTAACGAATGTGTATTTATGAAGACGATTTGTGAGACTGGTAAACTTATGATAGGTACGATGGTCTTTACTTTCTACACGGTGCATTTCAAGGTCCTGTACCCATCCGTCGGTAAACTTTACCTGGGCTTGTTGCAGTGACCTGAAGTTACTAAACTTCACGAGTGTATGCACTCACTGCAAGAACCGTATGATTATAAATATGAGCGTGGTGAAAGTTGGACAGCACGCTAAAGTATTTTGTCCCTCTGTGTGCTCATAAGGGTCTAACCCTTTCACTGGTTTGATTTTTTTCCTCGTATCTTTTCTTTGACTTTTCATCAAGTCTGTCTTTGTACGGACCGGCATTGTTCTCCTTCGTTTTGTACATACCTTTTTGGGGGGCAAAGAAAAAGCAAGAATTTATTGGAACCGAAGAATGAACATTTTGCGGTGCTGCAAATGCTTGCATTTGATGCGGGTACTTGGATTTTTTTGCCACGAGTTCCCGGCATGCAATGCGCGATTTGGCTCAATGCTTACATATATGTGTAAAAACAAAATGTACGAGCTGTGAAAACTGTTTCTGATAGAATGAAGAGTAGACTGATATATTAAATATTCCTTTATTGGGTGAGAAAATCATACCATGTCATAACTGCTTTAAGTCATACAGAATAGCTATCAGAGCCTTAAACAGGCTGACTTCTGATAAATGGGTCAAGAACACTTTGAAGAGGAGTGAACACACTCCCCTCCTCATGCTACACAGAGTTGTTACAGACCTCCTAAGATGAGACATTCTTTCAGTATGCAATCACCTATATACTTCTAAGCATGAATGATTATATGTCTCTAAATACAAATGACAATAATAAAATATAAATCCAACAGACAGACTGTTGGTTGGAGGTGCAGCAGTTGGTGTACAGGGAGAAGAGCAGAAAAAATTTAAAAATGTCTGTCACAGTACCATGGCTCAGTGGCTGACCCGCATGAATACAAGCTTGAGGCCATTTATAATTCTTGACTAGTTTGATATGTAGATTATTGAGATGGTTTTTGAGAAAATGTTTTTGAGAAAAAGTTATGTCCCCATGGGAACATAACTGTGATTTTGATTTCTGAGTTCTATATGCTGGGCTGTTAATCTCTTATAGCATTCATGACAATGTAATGGCTCAGAATCCAGATTTCCTAGAAATTGTACAGACATGCATAGTTCTTTCAACAATAAAAATATATAGAATTAACATAAAAAATGGACTATTCATTTGACAGAGAAGTTGAGTTCAGTTTGGTAAAATGCTATAAACCTGTTCAAATGTCAAAATATACCGGCACATAAATGCAGAAAACACGATCAGCAACATTCACATAGACAGAACAATCATTTCACTTCCACGAGAAAGATCATACCACTCAAGAGTTTATGATAGAATACTTACTAGAGAGAAATTATTGACAGAGGATTAAATGATTCCAAATTCAACCTCAAGAGGTTGACATAACATTCACTGGATATCACATTTATCTACACGAACAATAAAATCAAGTTTCAAAAATGTTTTTTTTAGTGATGAACTTAATGTACCTTTTTACGCCATATATATATATATATATTTTTAAATGGGATATGGTTATATTATTTGTCTACTTTGCTAATGTCAAAAACAACAATAATAAACACATAATTCACATAAAAAGTTAATTTGAGTTGATTGCTTACAATAATATCATTCACTAATATGTGCATACAAATGTTCTTACCCTGTACAAAAGAAAAAAGTCAAAATGAAAAATGAACTTCAGATTCATGAAACATTAGCACCTGAATCAGGGTGATGGGTACTAAATTTAAAAAGTTCTCTTGTCTTTGAACTAACTTTTAAAGCACTTTGGTCAACCTTGTTGCTTTGAAATGTGCTCTAGATTTACAACTGACATTGACATTCTAACCAGGGCCTTAAGGAGTTTAAATTTTCTATATACTTATGGTTTGAGGCTGCTCTAGATTTGTCAGTAGAGTATGAACTATCTCTGGTTCCTTATAGATGACTTTAGGTTTTTAGCTTCACCTTCTCCAAAAGCACCCATAATGGGACTGATTCAAAAATAGAAATTTTCATTGTCTTTGAGGTGATTTGTGCAGAATATTTAGGGTATAGTTCAAGATACACTTGAATCATGATTATGTCTATATTGTATGTTTCTAATCTGCTCTTAGAAAGTTCATAGTAGATCAGTATAGTTCAAATCCATCTTTAACCACTTTAGAAATAGGGCACAAAATATCTTCTCAAAATAGGGTATCATGGACAGTGAAGTAGCACCTTGGCATGTACAGGCTGATAAGATTTGATGGAGCTGGAAGTCACAGTGTTAGGATTGTACCTTGCTGCTATTATATAAAATACTGTCAATTTCCACTTGTGTTTTCTATAAAATTCATGGTATTGATTCAGCTTTCTTCTCTGGATTTTGGCTGTTGTATTATCCTCTTTCATGTCCTATGTTACTATATAACAAAAACAAACAAACAAAGGAGGAATTAACATTTTCTATTCTTTAAAAATGCAGTGCAAGATGTGGTTCAATTTAGTTATTCTATTTTTACTTACAGAATTTGTACTTATTTTCCTCTTCCTCCTCCTACATTTTCGTCCTTTTCCACTTTTTCTTGTTTCTTTGCTATGTGTTCCTCCTCCTCCTGCTGCATCGCTTCCTTCTCCTCCTGTCCTAAAGTAATAACATAAAAATGTAAAATAAAACTCTCCCCTGACACCTGTACCAACATTTATTCCTGCTGCTCATGCAGTTTACGGGCACAAAATGTTCAAGTTGCATTTATCCAAGAAACTTTTTAACCATATGCACAATATTCAAAATACTGAAATGTTTAAAACAGTATTATGGCAGTTTTGCTTTGATTGTAGCACTTACTAAAATCTTTTATGACTCATGTTAAAAAGGAAAAAAGACGTTACAAGAGATTAAAGTGTGGCTAAGCACCGAAGCTATGTAAACACACAATATGGTTCCCCTAAAAGTTGATTCAGTTTATCTGGACACACAAAATGGTTCTTTTTCTTACAGAGTGTCCTTTTCTGTCTTTTCTCCACTTTCTTCTTCTTTTCCAGTCCCACAAAGGTTCCTAAATCAGCAAAATAAAAGGTTTAGAAATATGGCTGGACACCGGTGACATGACTACCATTAACTAATGATCGCCCTTGAAGGCAGAGCGCGACACTTACGAGCAGGGAACAAGACTGCAAAGAGCATGCAAATTTTTTTGCCCCCTGGGCGTTGTGGGGCTGTAGGAAAAACACACAAAGTAATTCGGAGACGCAGCCTGATGCAACAGAAACCAGTATGTAGGTGTACACTGTAGTGTATAGCACACAGGAGTATTAGCTTATTATGCAAATGTTGGTAAGTTGTCTTGTGGCAACTGACGAATTGAAACAAATGACCATGCTGTGTGTGCAACAGCACGACAAACATTACCTGTCCTTTTATTAACTGCACAAATAGTGCTGGTCATAGCTGCTAGTTAACTGGGTAAAGGTGTCATGGGTATGTAGCTCTGTCCACATTTTAGTGAAAATATGTGGTTTTAAAGTAAGTCACAGGGCTTTTCCTGGCTTTCTGGAGGGATTATATATGTCCACATAATTATGGATTATTATAATTATGATATTAGAAAAATCACTGTATTTAAAAAAAACTGAAACAGAATATATTGGATTTATATTTAAAATATGAGAAAATGCTGAGTTTACACCAGCAAAATTATTGTATCTGTACAGTTTAAACATTTAAAAAAAAAAAAATCTGCCAGCACAGATAGTCAAACTGAATCATCATAAACACTATTAATATTATTTTATATTTTTACTTTATTTTTTATTGTCGTTACTTAATTATTATAACACTAGGTATAAGTAATAAGGGAAGGATCCTGGATCGGCACCATCATGAAAATGATGACGGAAATGTGATGAATAGTATATACAGTATTCTGGAGAAGAAAATGTCACTGTGTGGGTGTGTGTGTCCACCTGATGACAGTGATATAGTATGATGTGATTCCATATTTCCATATTAGATTCTTGATCAATGTGGGTTGTTTCAGCCTGGTTTTATGTGCCTTTTACCTCTGCTCCCCAAACAACCTCGACTGACAAAAATGTTTGAAGATGGTGTAGCTACCTTTTAATGAATAAAACCAAAATGCTGTGTTTTACAACATTCCCTGCACTCTTTGACTTTAAATTCACCAACGTTGGATTTTATGGAAAAAAATTTTAAGACTTCCATCAAGTTACATTAAAAAGCAAACAGTGAACATAGCTGCATACTAACTGGACTAAATGTGACCTTGTCTGAGGACAGTAGGCTGAGCAACGTAGATATAACTTTTGATGTGTAACATGCATATTTATTTCATATAAAGATGGAATTAAACATAAGGAATGAAATAAAGCCTTACCTGATCCGGTCTTTGAAGCAAAAGCATACAACAATGATGAAGATGATGAAGATGATGATGATGAGACCAGCCACAATAACCCAAATAAAAGGTTGAACAGGATGCCCATTTGTCCCTATGAAAATATAAGAAACACTGAGGTCAGTCCAGTCTATTTCTTCATCTTTCTTTGGTTGCTCCCTTTAAGGGTCATTACACCAAAGTATCTGCCTCCATTTCACCCTTTCCCTACCATCCTCTTCTGTCACACCCTATGCATGTATACCTTAACTATATTCATGGATCTTCTCAGTTATCTTCCTTTTTAACTCCTGCCTAGCAGCTCCATCCACTATTCCTCCTCTGCACAGGTCCAAACTATCTCAAGTTTGTCTCCAAACCTCTCAACCTGAGATGTCCCTCTGATATAATCTTATCCATCCTGCTCACTAACTTTCATTAAAAATCTTTCAATGAGAAAATTGACCTCCTGACTTTTTGTTAATGCCACAATCTTCGACCATACCTCATAACAGCAGGATTTGCAAACCTTACCTTTTAATCTTGCTGCAGTTGTCTCCACTGCTCAATCATGTCTACACTTGCTTCTTCACCTCTCCTGTGCACTCTGTTGCTTTGGATGGATCCAGGGTATTTAAACTAATCTACCTTCACTGCCTTAACTCCTTCCATGTTCACCTTTCCACCTGTCTCCCTGTTATATAGGTCAAGGTCAAGTTTATTTATATAGCACATTTCAAACAGCCAATGCTGCATAAAGTGCTTAACAATATAAAAATGGCATTAAAAAGCAACAGTGTAATACAATAATACATTATAAAACATTAGTAGGACAATAAAAAATTAAAACAATAACTAAAGCTATTTAAAATAAGACCAGAATGCTTGGGTCATAGTGTGTTAAAAGCCAGGGCATAAAAATGTGTCTTTAATAATGATTTAAATTGCTCAAGTGTTTGTGCAGATTGGATCCTGTAGGAGACAGGAAGCCAGTGTAAAGAAGCTAAAACTGGGGTTATATGCTCTTTCCATTTGGTACCAGTTAGCAGGCGAGCAGCTGCATTTTGGACCATCTGAAGACGATGGATGGTGGCCTGATCTAGACCATAATACAATGAATTGCAGTAGTCCAATCTGGACAAGGTGAAGGAACGAAAAGGTGAATAACACATTCAAAGACGTTAGCCGGGAGGTATGGCTTTACCTTGGCTAGCTGTCTTAACTGAAAGAAGTAGGACTGAACTACTGCACTCGGGGTGACTGTGGCTCAGGTGGTAGAGCAGATCAGCTACTGATTGGAAGGTTGGTGGTTCGATTCCTGGCTCCCCCAGTCTGCATGCCAAATATCCTTGCCTTGGGCAAGAGACCAACCCCAAATTGCCTTCCGATGCGTTCATCGCATGTGTAATAAACATGTGTGAATGTTTATTAGTTGCACTTAAGTGCTTGTATGAGTGGGTGTGAATGAGGCACGTTGTATGCAGCGCTTTGAGTACTCCGGGTTAAAGGGTTAAAGCATGATGGGACGCAGCCTGTAGCAAGGGACATATTAATTAATCTCAGTATAAAAGGCCCAACAGTATTAAAAGTGCTTTTAAGCAAGCTTGTGGGGAGACAATCAGAGGCAGCATCATTAAGGGAGGATCAAACTGCTCTAAGACAGCTAAGCACACAGGAGAAAGACTAGGATCTGAGGTAGCAGTTGACGAGACAAGGGCCCTAATAGATAGACTCTTGTCGTAAAAAATGCTAAAAAATCATCGCACATACTTGGTGAAGAAATGACTCCGGCATTATCCCGTGAACTTAGACAGCAATTAAGGACATTAAAAAGTACCTGAGGCGTGTGACTGTTTACTGACACGAAGTTTGAGACAAACTGTGTCTTTGCAGTTTTTATAGCTTCTTGGTAAGCAGAAAGACGAGTCCTTAAAATATATAGGGAAACATGCAATCTGTCCTTCTTCCATCTCCTTTCGACGCATCTGTAGTCACGTCGAAGGAAGCGCGTATGTTCGTTCAACCACGGCTCTGATAAATGCTTAACGTGCAGAGTCCTTAGCAGAGCAATAGAGTCCAAGATATCAGTGCAGGTAGAATGAAGAATATCCGAAAGGTCCTCAACACTTTTACAGTTGGAGTTCATTATTCCAGAATCCATAAAGTCAGCAGAAAAAGCGGGCGCTGTTATAAACTCTCGCTTTTTGCCCGCTGGGGCATACGGCTTATCTACCGAGCAGCGCAGCGTTAGAGTGAACAACACAGGAAAATGATCGGAGATGCGCAACTCAGATATTTCGATGATGCACACATCCAGCCTGTGGGAAAGCACCAAGTCCAGTGTGTGACCTTTTTCATGCGTGGGACCAGTAACCCACTGGGTCAAGTTAAAAGAGTCAATAATATTTAAAAAGTCCTTGACCAGAAGTTTAGAGTTACAGCAGACATAGATGTTAAAATCACCAAGGATTAAAAAACTATCGAAATTAAGAACAATTCCAGCCATAAAACCTGAAAACTCTTTGATAAAATCCTTATTAAACTTGGGAGGACGATATATGTGGGCACACAACAAAGGCGCAGCAGAGTTCAGGTGTAACTCGAACAGCTGGAGTTCAAAACTAGAAAATGAATTGTGCTGTAATGTTTGATCGTAATGAAATCAAGTGTTGACCATGGTGGCTAAGCCCTCCCTCGGCCCTCTGGTGATGGGGGGGGCATATATATATACACACACACACATACATATATATACATACACACATACATACACACACACACACACACATACATACACACACACACATATATACACACACACACACATATATACACATATATAAAAAAAACACCCAGCACGTCCCTGCGGGCGGTTTATCCTTCAAACTCGGGTCCTCTACCAGAGGCCTGGGAGCTTGAGGGTCCTGCGCAGTATCTTAGCTGTTCCCAGGACTGCGCTCTTCTGGACAGAGATCTCCGATGTTGTTCCCGGGATCTGCTGGAGCCGCTTGCCTAGCTTGGGAGTCACCGCACCTAGTGCTCCGATTACCACCGGGGACCACCGTTACCTTCACCCTCCACATCCTCTCGAGCTCTTCTCTGAGCCCTTGGTATTTCTCCAGCTTCTCGTGTTCCTTCTTCCTGATATTGCTGTCATTTGGAACCGCTACATCGATCACTACGGCCGTCTTCCTCTGTTTGTCTACCACCACTAGCCACCACCATTTTGTCCGTCTGTATCTGGAAGTCCCACAGGATCTTAGCTCGGTCATTCTCCACCACCCTTGGGGGCATCTCCCAGATTCTTACTCTGGATGGCATTACCTTGGCCTCCAGTAACGCTGTGAGGAACCTTGGAGTCATTTTTGACCAGGACATGTCCTTCAACGCACATATTAAACAAATATGTAAGACTGCTTTCTTCATTTGCGCAACAAATAAAGTTAGAAATATCCTGTCTCAGAGTGACGCTGAAAAACTAGTTCATGCATTTATTACTTCCAGGCTGGACTACTGCAATTCATTATTATCAGGATGTCCTAAAAACTCACTGAAAAGCCTTCAGCTAATCCAAAATGCTGTGGCAAGAGTCCTGACAGGGACTAGAAAGAGAGAGCATATTTCTCCTGTTTTGGCTTCCCTTCATTGGCTTCCTGTTAAATCCAGAATTGAATTCAAAATCCTGCTCCTCACATACAAGGTCTTAAATAATCAGGCCCCTTCTTATCTTAATGACCTTGTAGTACCATATCACCCTATTAGAGCACTTCGCTCTCGCTCTGCAGGCCTACTTGTTGTTCCTAGAGTATTTAAAAGTAGAATGGGAGGGAGAGCCTTCAGTTTTCAAGCCCCTCTTCTGTGGAACCAGCTTCCAGTTTGGATTCGGGAGACAGACACTATCTCTACTTTTAAGATTAGGCTTAAAACTTTCCTTTTTGCTAAAGCATATAGTTAGGGCTGGACCAGGTGACCCTGAATCCTCCCTTAGTTATGCAGCAATAGGCGTAGGCTGCCAGGGATTCCCATGATGCATTGAGTTTTTCCCTTCCAGTCACCTTTCTCACTCAGTATAGTCGTGTCCAAATTCATGGGCTGCATCCTCCTGAGGACCCAGCCTTCGCGGTCTACGTGGGCCGGGTCCTCAGAAGGTCGGGTAGGCCGGAAGTAAACGGCTGGGGAAATGGGACGGTCTAGCCTTCTGATTAGCGTCACCGCTGTCTCGGTGGAGTTTAATAAACTTGGCAGTCTGCTCCTTGCTATCTAAAATATAACGGGACACTGGCATAAATTCTCGACCGTCTCATACTTCTGTTTAATCAGTTTTCTGTTTGATGTTTATTCAGCTGTGTAAAAACCAAGGAGGAACCCACCAGGGGGATTAACCCTTTAAGACCTACCATAGAACCAAGTCCGCCAGAGCTTATATTATATTTTTACATGCTGTGGAGCCATTTTTGGGAGCATTTCAAGTTGCTATACATCAATACAACCATTATAGTCCAGATTTTAATAATATGTATTCATTAAGTGCATAGTAATTACATAAATTGCAAAAAAGTGCAATAAACTACAAAAAAAATTGAAAATCATTTTTGCTTTTTTAACATATATTTGTAGTTAGAGAAATTTAAGAGGCTTATCCCTCAAAACTGTAAATACAAAAAAGTTGCACAAAATAGTTTCCCACCACAGGAAATTTATTTTGAGTGTCTTCATAGTTTTATTTTTGAAATACACCAATTTTTATACACTGCAGGAAAAACGAAAATAAATATTATACTGCAAATTTGCAAAAAAGCAGCATATGCATCAAAATAAACTATTTCCAGCAGTGCAATATGAGTCCTAAGCATCCCAGAAACGACACAGAAAGTCATAAAGTCAAAGATAACTTTTAAAAAACCAGTATAGGCCCTGAGGCCCTGATAGTAAAAAAGACTACATTTCCGCGAAAATGACGTCACTTCCGGTTTCGGGCAGGTAATGGCGGAAATGCAAAAGTTTGCGCTGACGTCTATTCCAACGTAGGAAGTGTTATGAACAGCTGATCGGATCGGCAAAGCGTGTTTCTGGAATATTATGTTTTTGTTCCTGCAAGTGCTTTTTATGCAGTTTTTGCAAAGCTTTATGTGGAAGGAAACCGTGACCTAGGACAAGCTGATGGCATAAGATGTAAGTACAACTCCTCCGGTTTCATATGCAAAAAAAACCGAGCAGATATTTGATGTTTACACAACTACTTTCTCGCCTGAAAATATGTTAAAAGTTTATTTTGTGACCCAGAAACATTAGTAAGAGTACTTTTAGAACTTAGTAGCGGGCCGCGCTATGAATTCTGGGATATGGTAGGCCACGAAGGACACACCCGACCCATCCTTCAAATTCGGGGAAAAGGAGGACGCATTTGTCGGCTGCATTCGGAGGAGTCTACAAATTTGGATAGCCTTCGGCGCGTCGCTGTGACGTAATCGGTCTACAAATGCGGCCTCAGGAGGATGCAGCCCATGAATTTGGACACGACCTATGTGTTAATAGACCTCTCTGCATTGAATCATATCTGTTATCAACCTCTGTCTCTCTTCCACAGCATGTCTTTCATCCTGTTTTCCTTCTCTCACCCCAACAGGTTGCAGCAGATGACCGCGCCTCCCTGAGTCTGGTTCTGCTGGAGGTTTCTTCCCTTGTATGGTGTTCGGGTCTGTGAGACCCGTTTTCAGTTTTTCTCAAAAGAAAAATTAAACAATTAATTATTTTTTCAACCTGAAATTCATTAGCTTTGGCTTATTTTCTGTGAAGAACATAAATCCGAACTAATTTTCAATGACCTCACACTGTATCTCCCCCCACGCATTTACATTACATACAAGGTGTTCGGTCCCAGGTCTAATAAAAGTGTTGAAAGTGTAGGTCCTGTGTTCCCACACTCTGTCTTCCTCCTTTCTGGTGCTGCTGATAGTGTTTTCTTCCCCTCCTGCTCCCGCACAAAGTTGCAACATTGTTGAAAATTCAACTATCAACACCGTCTGCTCTTACATTCCCGCACATTTTACCCTCTCTCGAGGGATCCAAATTTTATTTTCTCATACCCTGTCCCACCTGCAAATTAGGGGCATAATACTATAAATAAGACTTTGCCAGTGTGGTTCTTTATCACAACTGATCAAGATGGCAAAAGATTATCTGCTGCGAGGGCCATCCAATTGATTTTGGAACAGAGAGGAGCTTCGGATGATGATGTTGACAAAGAGGTTTCAGAATATTTCACATTTCTGAAAATTCAGAGTCTGACAGTGACTTTGAAGAAGAGGATGAGGTTGAGCACCATTTAGTAACAAAACGAAGACGAGTACCCCATCTGCAGCCAGCTCCAGGACCAGAACAAGCCCACCAGACAGCAGGTGAAGAAATATGGACGTCAATAACTGGTGAAATTGAATGGTCTTCTTGCCCAAGAAATGAGCCACCCTGCAGAGCTGCTACTGTGATAAGCCAGGGCCAACACGGCTGACAGTTACTCATGTGCAGGACATCAAGTCTTCATTTGAGCTTTTCATCCCAGATTCCATCCAGAAAATTATTCTGGATTGCAGTAATCTAGAAGGAAGGTGTTTTTTTGGAGAGAGGTGGAAGGAGATGGACCAAATTCATCTAAGAACCCCAAAGGCCTACTTTGGGGTTCTTATCCTTCCAGGAGTTTTCAGGTCCAAAGAGGAATCCACAGAATCCCTGTGGGATGCAGAAACCGGCAAGAACCTTTCCATGCATCGATGTCTCTGGAAAACTTCCACAAAATTTCCAGGATTATCCGTTTTGATAACCAAGATGACAGACCAGCTCGACGGCAGTGAGACAAGCTAGCTGCCATCAGGACAGTGTGGGATAAGTGTGTGCACCACCTCCCCCTGTTTTTTCCCCTTGGCCTAATGTCACCATTGATGAGCAGCTGATCCCATTTAGTTGTGAAACATATTGCTTCACGTGTAAATGTGTTGTGTCTTTCCACTCACTCCACTTGATTATAACCGATTTATGTTTTTTATAACATTTTATAAAAAAAACAAACAAAAAAACGAGAAGCACATTAATTCATAAATGTGATCTAACAAAGGTAAAGGGAAAAAATTAACCATGTTTGCTGTTCATATGGTTTGTTATTGGGATGACGTAAACATCTGTTGAGTAATTTAACATAAAATTATTTGATAGTGTTAATTTGGAAAGCAAAAACTCTAGCGGGTCCACCAGACCCATGAACACTGGCTGAGTAACAAAAATATGAACACCACACAAGGGTTATTAAAAGGGAGTTTTTCCTTTCCACTGTTGCCAAAGTGCTTGCTCATAGGGGGTCATATGACTGTTGGGTTTTTCTCCGTACCTATGAAGCGCCTTGAGGCAATTTTTGTTGTGATTTGGTGCTATATAAATAAAATTGAATTGAATCTAAAGCAACAGAGAATTTACTCACCATTTATTGGATTGGTCATGGGTGCATTTGTCTGATCATGTCTCTCACCTATTGAATTTCCACACAAAAAGAAAGAAAATTTACAGCAGACATGCTTAGAAGTGCCACACACTGGTATGAAAAAAGAAATTACCTGCAAATGTTATCATCACCTATATTCAATTATGCTTAAACTCTACAGGTTAAAACAGTTCCCAAGATAATAACAGGGTGCCTAATTATTAATTTATCCTTTATTTATCCACGTAAAATTCTAATTGAGATTCAAATCTCATTTCCAAGAGAGACCTGGCATCATTGTATACATTAAACTAACTTTAAAGTTCACATCAGCAAATGTTGTAAAGAGAAAATCTTTGTTTTTTTAGTAAATTCATTGTATTTTCAGAAAAACAGTTTCCATGATCTTACTTGAGCTGCTATGTCTTGGTTTTTCTTTTATAACTGTAGGACAAAATATCAGCATAGAATTCAAGTTATTCACATACATATTATCAACACTTGGAAAAATGTCCAGGACTTGTTCACCCTAAGCCCTAACTATAACAGAGTTAGAAATGTCACCTGTGTTTGCAGCTTTACATTCTAATCTAAATCTAAATAGGCAGTCTAGTCAAAATCTAGTCAAAAGCTCAATGATTTTTTTTTCCATTGAGAAAAACATTAGAATATAGTATCAAAATTCCACTGTTTTACTTTATAAGCATGCTATCACATGAATTTTAATTGTAATACAGAATTCACCTATTGCTGTTATATCTCAGCAAACATGGTTGAAACATTAAAACTGGTTCTGGTTGTAGTATTTAAAAAGCTGTTAAACTTCTTGTGCCCTCAATTTTAGAAATTAATATATTGTTATCATTTTATTGAAAAGGTTAAAGGTTAGAGGTTTAAAGTTCTTACCAAGAGTCAGGCCAATGCATGATAATTTCATATGGTGAATGCAGCAGCAGTAGTTTCCTGCATCTGATAGATTTACTTTATGGAGGTTTAGTGAGGCTGTTCCTTTCCACAGTTCTTCAAGGAGGGCAGACTGGTTTATTCTGTCCTTGTATTTTTCATGCACAAAATTTACAGTTTTTAACTTAATGATGACAATTTTTTCATTGCCTTTAAACCACTCTAACGAAACCTCAACCTCATTGATCTTGAAAGTTGGAAGACATGGAAGAGTAATGTTTTTGCCAGCCTCGTCCTCAAATGATGTCTTCTGTTTAAAATCCCCCGAAGAAACATGACATTCATTGTTGTTATTATGTTGCCCTATAATGAAAAGCAAACAAAGAACACAACTGAGATTAACAAATAGCAGACCTAAATATCAGCTGGATAATTTCTAGATTTCTAGCTTTGCTTTGTTTTGACAGATGCATGAAACTATACAGTTTTAGACATAAGTTGTAACGGCCACCATTTTCTTTGTGGTGGCCATAAATCCACCGATTTATGGATGAACTAGAGCTTAATATAACAGTAGAAGAAATTACTAATGCTATAAGGAACATGAAAGGGGGCAAAACTCCTGGACATGACGCAATACCAATAGAAATATTTAAAATATTTAAAGATAAATTAATCCAGCCTTTATTGGATATGTATCAGGAATCATTTGAATCTGGGTCTCTCCCCCCTTCACTTAATGTTGCAACAATTACTTTGTTACTGAAACCTAATAAGCCAGCAACACATTGTAGTTCTTATAGACCAATCTCACTGTTGAATTATGATTACAAGATACTTTGCAAACTATTAGCTATAAGACTAGAGACACTCTTGCCTAAGATGATTCATTCAGACCAGAATGGCTTTATCCAGGGGAGGCAGGGGTTTCACAATATACGGAGGGTCATGAATATCATTTATGAGAAAAAAAAAGAGACCAGAGACAATGCGTTAATCTCAATGGATGCGGAAAAAGCCTTTGACAGGATCGAATGGCCATTCTTATTTGAAGTTTTGAAAAAGTTTGGTATTGGAAATAGATTTTTTAAATGGATTCAGTTGATATACTCCAACCCTCAAGCAGAGATTTTAACTAATGGTCTTTTTTCCGCACCATTCAGATTATATCGTGGAACTAGACAAGGGTGCCACTTGTCACCTCTCTTTTTCACCTTGGCAATTGAGCCTCTTGCGATGGCAATTCGGAATCATAAAATCATATCAGGAAATAAAGTAGGCAATGTTGACCACCATATTGCCCTGTATGCAGATGATGTGATCCTGTTCTGCACTAATTTAAACAAATCAATACCATCCATATTAAGTCTCATTAATACATTTAGTACATTTTCGGGTAATAAAATAAATTTTGATAAATCCGAAATATTATTTTTGAATAAAAGTGAACGACAATATCCTCCAATCAATACTCCCTTTCTGCTATCTAAACATGGGTTTACTTATCTGGGTGTGAAATTAACTCACACAATTGAAAATACTCTGGCATCCAATTATAATTCCTTAACGACATCAGTTACTGCACTTCTAAACAGATGGATGAAACTACCTATATCTTTAATTGGTCGTATTAATATACTGAAAATGTCAATTTTGCCAAATATCTTTACCTTTTTCAATCAATACCTCTCTCTCCACCAAACTCTTTCTTCTTAGATTTGCAAAAACTATTCCGAAACTTTATTTGGAATAACAGAAGACCAAGACTCAGAGTCTCATTACTATACCTTCCTTATGAAAGAGGGGGTTTACAACTTCCAAATTTAAAGTGGTACTTCTGGGCTGCTCAAATCAGAGCGGCAATGTTTTATTTTGTTAATGAGCAGACTTCAGTGTGGGTTTCTATGGAATCCACAGAAATCAAAATTCCCCCTAATTTATATCTTTACTCAGCCGACAGGAAGACACTAAATAAGCAAACTAAGAACCCCTTTCTAAAAAACACTATAATGATCTGGTTTGAAATACATAACTACTTGGGAGAAATGATACAACTGTCTAGGTTTACTCCGATATTTGGAAATAACAACTTTCTTCCGGGTAGGGCGGATGCAGGTTTTAAATTTTGGTTCGATCAAGGTGTAAGAAAAGTGTCTGATATATTTAGGAATAATACTCTTATGTCTTTTGAACAACTTAGAAGTACTTTTTCTATTCCTGTCAAACATTTTTTTTTAAATTTCTTCAATTAAGAAATTTTATCTTAACCACACAAGGTAACAGCTTAGAAATCCCCACCTACTCCTCTCTAGAGAACACAGTTATAAAGCATCTAAATGGGAGAGGCCTAGTGTCTGCATTGTACAAATTATTTATGGAAAATTCCAAAGAATCAACACAGTCTATTTTAGAGGCTTGGAGGAATAATTTGCAAATGGATATATCTGATGATGAGTGGTATAAATCATGCTCCTTGGCCCAGAGTCAGACAATTAATGTGCAATCTCGGCTACTTCAATATAAATGGTTAACAAGACAATATATTACTCCGTCAAAAATACATCATTTTAACTCCAACATCCCAGACACCTGTATTAAGTGTGGAGTGGACAGGGGCACTTTATTTCACTGTATATGGGAGTGTCCACATGTGAAAATCTTTTGGGAAAAGGTAATAAATCTGTTGAGTCAAATCATCCGTGATGTGATTCCACTTCATCCTAAAATATGCATTTTAAATATATACACTCAACAAAAATATAAATGCAACACCTTTGTTACTGCTCCCATTCCCCATGGGATGGACGTAGAGACCTAAAATTCATTCCAGATACACAATATAACCATCCCTCCCAAACAGTGGTCACAAATCAGTCCAAATGTGTGGTAGTGGGCACATCTGCCATATTGAGATAATCCATCCCACCTCACAGGTGTGCCACATCAGGATGCTGATCTGACATCATGAGTAGTGCACAGGTGTACCTCAGACTGCCCACAACAAAAGGCCACCCTGGAATGTGCAGTTTTGTCTCACAGCAAAATGCCACAGATGCCACAAGCAATGAGGGAGCGTGCAATTGGCATGCTGACAGCAGGAATGTCAACCAGATCTGTCGCCCGTGCATTGAATGTTCATTTCTCAACCATAAGCCGTCTCCACAGGCGTTTCAGAGAATATGGCAGCACATCCAACCGGCCTCACAACCGCAGACCTCGTGTAACCACACCAGCCCAGGACCTCCACATCCAGCAGGTTCACCTCCAAGATCGTCTGAGACCAGCCACCCAGACAGCTGCTGGAACAATTGGTTTGCACAACCAAACAATTTCTGCACAAATTGTCAGCAACCGTCTCAGGGACGCTCAACTGCATGCCCGTCGTCCTCATCGGGGTCTTGACCTGACTCCAGCTCGTCGCCGTAACAGACTTGTGTGGGCAAATGCTCACATTCGATGGCGTCTGGCACGTTGGAGAGGTGTGTGCTTCACGGATGAATCATGGTTCACATTGTTCAGGGCAGATGGCAGCTGAGAATGTCCCAGTTCTTGCATGGCCAGCATACTCACCGGACATGTCACCCATTGAGCATGTTCGGGATGTGCTTGACCGGCGTATACGACAGCGTGTACCAGTTCCCACGAATATCCAACAACCTCGCACAGCCATTGAAGTGGAGTGGACCAACATTCCACAGGCCACAATTGACAATCTGATAGACTCCATGCGACGATGTGTTGCACTGCATGAGGCAAATGGTGGTCACACCAGATACTGACCGGTTCTGGGTCCCCAGACCCCCAATAGCGCAAAAAACTGCACATTCCAGGGTGGCCTTTTGTTGTGGGCAGTCTGATGTACACCTGTGCACTACTCATGATGTCAGATCAGCATCCTGATGTGGCACACCTGTGAGGTGGGATGGATTATCTCAATATGGCAGATGTGCCCACTACCACACATTTGGACTGATTTGTGACCACTGTTTGGGAGGGATGGTTATATTGTGTATCTGGAATGAATTTTAGGTCTCTACGTCCATCCCATGGGGAATGGGAGCAGTAACAAAGGTGTTGCGTTTATATTTTTGTTGAGTGTACTAGAGATGGCACGATACCACTTTTTTATGTCCGATACCGATATCATAAATTTGGATATCTGCCGATACCGATATGAATCCGATAGTGTTTTTTAATCAATAAAACTGTTTTCTTAATATATTGCTGCATTTTGTGTAAGTTCAAACTCAAGTTTAAATAAACAACAACACTAAAGCTATTCTGTTATACCTGTATGTAAAAAATACACTGCACCGAAAATATTTCATAGTTCAGCAATACTGATCAATCTAATAAACTTAAACCTACTCAATCCTTCCTATTCTGGTATTTTAAAGAGTACTTAGCAGAAATATTAAGCAACCTAACTAATAGGGTTCCAAACTCCCAGCAAAAAATAAAAAATAAAAAAATAGGGAACCACCCCCCAACCTCCACCTCATGATGCTTAATCGACGTAATCAACTTTAATTTGATGCAGTGTGGGAAAAAAAATGCACAGAAATAAATTATTTTTAAAGAATAATTAAATAAATTCAACATCTTCCTTCAACAGAACTGCAGACTGCACAGATGGTATCTTCCCAAAGGAAAAAGTAATATAGCTTACTAGGGTATATTAGACTTAACAGTTACTATATACAGTAATGGACTTTGGGTGTAAGATTCAGATAATTATTGATTAAAAGCTAGATATTTTAAATGAGAATAAGAAAGAAGAGTATGTCTTTGTGCCCCCTTTTCCCTGTTCATGCCCTATCGGCCCCCCTGACTAAACTTTGCTAGATCCGCCCCTGGACAGTTACCAGCTGTCAGCTGCGTAGAAAAGGATCCTGGTGTAGAAAGTAATATTAAATAAATTCTAACAACAGCTTATCAAACTTAAACGAGCTGCTGTTGTTCAGCCGCTGGTTTCCTCTTTCTGGCGCGAAGTGGGCAATAAACAAACAAGAGAGATGGAGTCGAGACAGAAAAGCCGATCAGCTGATAATTAAGCAGTTTCACGATTGAAGTAGCAGCAAGAAGAGGCAGTCGCTCCAGGTATTGGTTGTTAAGCTTAACGCGGGAATGCTTTACAAACATTCAGAGATGAACTTACACACTTGCTTTACTTCTCTCTGGGATAACTTTCTCAGAGATGAAATGACTATCTCAATGGCTTAATGGACTGACATCTATACTATCTATGGAGAAAATAACTTATACATTAAGAAATAAACTGGACAAGTTTTGGGCTATATGGTCAAAATTCTACAACTTTCTGGAGAACTGCAACGTATACACTGTGGACTTAACAGCCTGAAACTCTAACTTGATTTGTATATCTGTCTTTCCCTTTTGTTATGGTTTGCTTTGTTTTTGTTTCTATTATTATGTTGTTTCTGTTGTTGTTGTGGTTTTGTTTTAATTTTTTTTTTTTTACTTTATTATTTTTTGTTTATTTGTTTATTTATTTTTATTTATTTATTTATTTTTAATTTTTGCTCACGGTGCACCATGTAAAACCGGTTAAAACCAATAAATAAATGTTTAAAAAATAAATAAATAAATAAAATCCTGGATTTATCAAAGACGTTAAGTGTCAGTTTTCTGACTGAAAATTGTGAAAAGCAGTATTTTTGTAGGTGGCTTATGGCATATATATTTGTAAGACTTACACTATAAGGAGAAGAATATCTAAATTAGTTTAAATATGAATTCCAACAAAGTCTGTGACAAACAGCTCACTGTAAATTGCACAAACTTTAATGTAAAAAACAAAACAAAGAACATGTTGTAGGCATGTTGCGGTTGTGATAGCTGTTAAGAGGAGTGTTTATAATTAACAGGGGACATCAAATCAGAGCGTGTGGTCATTTTGATGATCAAAGCTGTTATTGCTAAAAATGCCAACAAACTGTCTCTATCCTATAGTCTTTACTCAATCCTCAATCTGAGTATTTAGAGGCGAGCCCCACCTATGGTTGCTCAATAACACAATTTTCATGAAACAGCAGAAATTAACTGAAATAAGATTCTTTTCCCCTGTGCTGTGTGCACAGCAAGTGTCTGTCTCTGGGGAATCTGGAACACATAAAAGTCTTTATGTAATAGATTCATACCTGAATGTTGCAATGTGCTATTAGAATTAAAATGGTACATGCACATTTATGCACGTTAGCCAGTTACATAGTAACTGGGAGGGCTCATGATCTGACACTTCTGCTGCACAAAACACAGATCAGCTATTCTGCTCAGATTTCAGATTTATATGGTAGAAAATTTGAAATTATGCAGCTCTTGTTTGGATAAAGTTTGCGCTGCACCCGAGTCTTAGTGCTCAGAATCATTTCCACACGTGCCTAGCGATTTCTACCAGGCCTTTCTACCAGGCATGACTTTGTTTAGTAGTTTTAATAGTTTTCCATCTTTTTTTCTGCAAATACAGAAACCGAAAGTGTGAAAGCTCGCTGGGAAGGTAAAGTGGATCCTGTTGACTTCGCCTCCATTCCAACCAACTAGACGTGGAAGTAGTGACGTTTTAGTTTTGTGACAAAGTAAAACATGAGTGTCACTACACTACCGTTGAGGTTACCGGTTACAACAGAAATGATAGATTTATTGTTCTCATGTGGTATCGGACGGGATTATTTCAACAAACCGAGGACATTTTGCCTGAAAATTATTTGTATCCCACGTTGTAACTTTGATCAAGACGCTTTTGCTTTCACTTTAGCGAAAAAAGGGTGACTCTAAAAGGCATGGAACCTCACTAATAAAATATATAGTGAATCAACACGAATAAGCTTACCATTTAATAACACTGCCATGAGCAATATGTGAAGCACTCTCCGAACTTTTAGGTGGCTTGTCATTTTCTGGTGGTGTTCGCCTGGTCTACGTCAAAAAGATGGTCACGCACACTTAAAAATCCCACGTAATAGAACTTTCTTCTGTCCAAAAACGCGAAACAAACAAACGAACAACAACCAGCCGATCTAATTGTACTTTCACTGTTTGTCTGCTTATCCGTCTGCAAGCCGCAGGAATACAGAGGAGCTTCCTTATTCCTGCAGTGGAGCTACTTCCTGCTGTTAATCAGGCACGTACGGGGGGGGGCTAGAGAGGCTTGAGCATAGTGCTGCTCCCGTTAACCCAGTATTGTTATAGTTCCTTGTAATTACAGTTTATCACAGTGCAACTCAAGTCCTCTATAATAGCTCTGCTCTCGTTTAAACCTCAAGCACTTTCCTAGTAGGTTTAGTTTCACAGTGGCTTCTTTCACTCTTTGTAAATAAAGTGTTGCTTCCACTCATTCTCCGTGCTTTCGTGTCCATACTTCTCGTGGCCACTAGGTTGTGACAATAACCAGCTCACACAGAATTAAATAACACTTTTCCCACACAAAGTTCCAATATTGTTACATTTAAAGCATCTAAAGATACATTTACAGCTAGCTTGCTATTTTTTTTGCTTGTTGAAATCACTATCAAAATTATATCTCATTTGAAAGCCTAGTGATTTTGATAGCTACTATGATCTTAACTTAAAATCCCACCTTTTTGTATTGTTCCAGTGGACCCCCTAATATGCAAGCACATTAGAGAACCTTTTTTTCTTTGCTTGACATTTTTAAGTGATTTGCACCACATACGTTTCCTTGCTCATTTAGGATATACATGTCTTTCCAAAAGTGTGAAATAACTATATGAAAAGCACAAATTTAAAGGAACATTTGTTCATGAATATTTGTTTTGATTCACACTGGCAATTTTACTAAATATATCCTACGTCAATCTATCATTTGTAATAGTTTGTGGTGAACAGGGCATGTAATCAAATGTGGTACAGCCATTTGTGGCATAAAAACATTTTAGAATCCAGCACAAACAACATTTATTTCAACATGAAGAATAATAATTGAACTAATAATAATAATATTAAGTTTCACCAAAGTTACTAATCTTAGTTTTGATGTTATGACCACACAGGCACGTGCAGAGGGGGGGGGGGGCTAGAGAGGCCTGAGCACCCGCCCCTTTCCTGATGGGTGCCCAAAGTGCCCTTTTGTTGAGGCAACTTTTTAAAAAAAAAATTATTGTTATTTTTTAATGTGTGTGTGCGTGCGGAGTCCTGTCTGTGCCCCTCAACAATAATATTTAACTATTAATCACAGTTTTGCTAAATAAAAGGATCTCGCTTGCATCAGTTACATGATCACATTTAACCAATGATCGCAGCAGAGTGAAGCTGACCCCCCACCCACTTGAAACATAAAGGCAAATAGGCGGAGCGGTTAGTGCTACGTTTGTGCAGATTTGTGCAGGTAAAATTAGTGTTTGTGCTGCTACGGTGTTTGAGATATTAAACATTATTTTATAGGTCATTCAAAGGTCACCATCCCCCCAGACTGCTCCAAAACGGGCCAAAATGGTCTACTTTTTTAGTGCTACGTTTGTGCTGATTTGTGCAGGTAAAATTAGCATTTGTGCTGCTACAGTATCTGAGATATAATGATTTTAATTATTACAGCCTACGCTGTATAACACCAGTGTCTGTGGCAGTGAGTTTCAGCAGAGTGGAGTTTTGCCCTTTTTCTAGGCTTGCTGCATATTAATTTTTATTAGTTTACACTTTAGTAACACAATTTATTCAGCGGAAAGGTCGATATTTCTTTTGTTACTAGTGCAGAAACGTACACAAGGTAGGCTAAAGTTTTAATTTTTTCTGTGGCAAAACTGAGTTTCATGTGAAGTGATTCACGTATACCTAAATTATTATTATTTTTTACATACCCAGTTGGCCTCTATGATTTTGTTTTGAATTATATATGTTCATTATTATTATGTAGCTGTCTCAGAAAAAATGAAGTGTTTGCTTTGATAGGTTGTTACCTACGTGTAGAAAAGTGAATATTCCACAGCACCTAGGCGAGGGATCTTCAACCTGCGGCTCTAAAGCAACATGTGGCTCTCCGGCCCCTCCACTGTGGCTCTTGTAAGACCAAGTAAGTCATTTTTTTATTATAAAGACAACAAGAAAGGGTTCTGTTAACAGTTTGTTTTTTTTATGAAATATCTGCATTGACTATTCACTGAATGCACAAGGCTTTTAAAAGTGATTTAATGTTTCTTAGCTTCAAATCTGTTTACTGTAATTTTCAAGTTGGTTGCCCATCTTTCCTAATTTTCAATTATTATGGAAAGGACTCACGTAGCTGGCTTCATTTTAACAAATACTTTTTTTCGTTATAAAGCTTTGATGATTCATTGTCTTATCAAATCTAAAAATAAACATTTTTATTTACATTTCCATAGCTTACACGATACAACAACTCATTTTCTAGATATTTATAGGCTCTTTCTTTTTTTAGGCTCTAGACAGGTTTTGTAGCAGCAGGGGGAAAAGGGGCCTTTGAAATGAAAAGGATGCTGACCCCTGACTTAAGCCACAAGGTAAACACAAAACAAATACAGAAAAGTTATTGACAGAAAAATAAAACGGTTACTTTCAAGGCTACGGGTGAAGGTGACTTGGTGTGTAAAAGCAAATATGCATCAGACTGACAAAGAAAAGAGTGTTAAAAGATTTTTAATTTTGAACTTTAACTTTATGTGCAAAACTGAACTTACTGATAACACACACTAGCCATTTGAACACATGTAACTGTAATGAACCAAATAAAACAGAAAAATGCAGGCAGCACTCATTATACTGTGTATAACACAGCATGGGGTTGTATTTTTTTCTTTTCAGATGCTCCTGTCACTCCATTTCCCAGGTCATCATAGCACTCCCACACACATGGAGCTCTCCTGCAGTATGCAGTGTAATGTATGGGCTCAAAATGTGGTCATAAATATTTTGTACTTGTAAAAAGGATTTGTATGTGTAAAAAAGATTTGTATGTGTAAAAAAGATTTGTGTGTGCATAAAAAAGATTTGTATGTGTAAAAAAGATTTGTGTGTGTGTAAAAAAGATTTGTATGTGTAAAAAAGATTTGTGTGTGCGTAAAAAAGATTTGTATGTGTAAAAAAGATTTGTGTGTGCGTAAAAAAGATTTGTGTGTGGACTTAGAAAAAAAACCCCTGCAAGTTACAAGTACGGATTTTGACCCTATTTTTCTTCCTTTCATCTGATTGGTCAATGTCATGTCAATCACAAATGTAACAATCCAATCAGAGAACAGATGGGTTTGGCTGTCGGAGGGGCACTTTTTTGAACTGCAGGTCCTTGAAGGGTGATACAGTTTGAAGCTGGAGGATCGCTATATAAATATCTGATAGCAGCTAGGTCCCCTAACTTTCATTAGCTGTTGAAAGGAAAAAGTTGTGGTATATCAGTGGTTAGAAATAACATTATTACTTTAGGATTAGTTTAACACAAAGTCAGGGCTGACCCAGGACCATTGCTGTGAGTCACAGTGCGCAGCATAAAAGTCCTTTCACATCGGACGCAGGATGTGCTGCTAATGCTAACTGCTAACTAAAAGCAAAGGATCCAGAATTTGTTGCGCTGGCTGCTGGGCTCTGTGGGTTTTTTCAGCAGCTCTACCTGTACTAGATGCACCTGCTCCTTGTCTTTTCTATCTCTGACTTTATGTCCTCTACAAGAGTTTGGTTTTTTTTTGCTGGTTTTTCAAATGTTCAATAAAAACATATATGCTAATTCATAACGAAGAACGCTTTGTAATGAAGACTGTCATTTCCAAAACACTGCCCGCCCCCACCCCGCGGTCCGCAGCGCTGTTGAAAAGGCTGTGGAAGTCCCTGTATTAAACACATAGACCTGTGACACAAAAATCACCAAACTCGGACGACCACAGACTGTTTTCCTTCGTGGTGATGAAGGAAAACGCTGGGTTGGCATGTAAAAGGGCATTTGTTCCCTTCAAAGACCTGCAGTTCAAAAAAAGCGCCCCTCGACAGCCAAACTCATCTGTTCTCTGATTGGATTGTTACATTTGTGATTGACATGACATTGACCAATCAGATGAAAGGAAGAAAAATAGGGTCAAAATTTGTACTTGTAACTTGCAGGGGTTTTTTTTCTAAGTCCACACACAAATCTTTTTTACGCACACACAAATCTTTTTTACACATACAAATCTTTTTTACGCACACACAAATCTTTTTTACACATACAAATCTTTTTTGCGCACACAAAAATTCTTTTTACACATACAAATCTTTTTTACGCACACACAAATCTTTTTTACACATACAAATCTTTTTTACGCACACACAAATTCTTTTTACACATACAAATTTTTTTAGGCACACACAAATCTTTTTTACACATACAAATCTTTTTTACGCACACACAAATTCTTTTTACACATACAAATCTTTTTTACGCACACACAAATTCTTTTTACACATACAAATCTTTTTTACGCACACACAAATCTTTTTTACACATACAAATCTTTTTTACGCACACACAAATCTTTTTTACACATACAAATCTTTTTTACGCACACACAAATTCTTTTTACACATACAAATCTTTTTTACGCACACACAAATCTTTTTTACACATACAAATCTTTTTTACAAGGTCAAAATATTTATGACCACATTTTGAGCCCATAGTAATGCCCCAAACCATCAGTGTGGTCATCTTTCCATGGAAAGCAATTAATGCCCTCAAAGTGAACGACTTTCCTTGGAGAACCAGGTTGGAGGGAAATTCATTCAGTGGAAATTCTGTTTGGTTTGCAAGGTCAGTATCAATCCACACGATATCTCCAATGTTGTAGCTGTGAGTAACTGTCCCTGCACAGAGCTCATTTCCTGTGGTGCTGTCTTCTGTTTTGAATTCTGATGGACACAGAGATGGATTGGAGAGTGGCCTGAGGCAGGTAGACTCAGGTAGGCCAAGTCCTGCTTCCACAGCTGTGCCAAGATGAGCCATACCAGACTCTTTGAGGACAGAGATGGCAGGAGAAACAAATGGC